CGGGGCGGGGCGGGGCGGGGCGGGGCGGGGCGGGGCGGGGCGGGGCGGGGCGGGGCGGGGCTAGGCGGAGTGGGGCGGGGCGGGGCGGCGTAAGGCGGGGCGTGTGAAAGGGCGCGCCTGGGACGGCGTGGCGCGACCGCGACCGACCGCCGCTGAAAGAACGGGAAATGTACGGGATATCGAAGCGTTCGTCGTCATCAGCGGCTACACTGTAGCGGCCCTGGCCACGGCGTGCACGGAGTGGCGCTGCGACGGAAGTGGGGCCCAGAAGCAAAGCGAGAAGCAAAGCGAGGCGAGGACGCCCCGACGCCCCATTGTGCGCCCGCCCCGCCAGCAGGCTGAGGGTCTTTTCGTCGCTCCGTCTCTCTCGCACTCATGGGGCGTCCCGTATGGGCGCGAGAGAGACAGCGCGAGGAAGCACCGTTTCCGCGCCATCCTGCCGGCCGCGCTGGCGACGCTCCTCTCCCTGGCACGGCGGCGAAACCTCTGGGGGGCGCGGCGGACGCCGGCCGGCCGATCCAGGGCAAGCCAGCCCGCAGCCCCGCGGACCCTGAGTCCTGACCCCGAGTCCTGAGTCGGCATTTTTTCGGCCTCGACGACGCACTTGTAGTGGACCGGCCGGTGTCTGCCGCGTAACAGGACGTCCTGGAGGGTCCTGGAGGGTCCTGGACGTGGCCGAGGAGGGCCGCCCCGGCCGCCACCGCAAGAGTGTGTCGGCTAACAAGGGCTGCGTGTGGCGGGGCAGGGCGGGGGGCGCGGCTCCGTCCCCAGCAGAGACGCATCCCCGTCAGAGATTTGTGGAGGTACAGGCCAAGCGAGAGCTCAGACCCCTGGCCTAGCCCTGGCCTAGCCCCCACTCGGCCCAGCCCACGACCCCTAAGTGAGATCTATTTGCTCCCCTCCTACACACACACACACACACACACACACACACACACACACACACACACACACACACACACACTCACGAGAGGCCGGCGCGAGCACACCCTCCTCTCAAACACACACTCACTTCCCCCCGCCCCTTTTCGCACCGAGTCTGTCTTACTTGGCTCCTAATTCGCCCGGAAGAACAGGGGCTGCGTTTGATGATATCCGGCTCAGGTTAGGTTAGGCGGACTTCGTATGGACTGAGTGGGTTTTGCGCTGACAAACGCACGGAGAAGGATTATTTAAGAAAGGCAGGACCTTACATCGACCCCCTTGATTTGTCGCGATTTTTTCTCCTCATTTTGTACTCCCTTGGCAAAATTTCAGACCCATGGGTCTATTGTTGAAGTTTTGGTGGTCAATCCAACAATCGCAACAATCCAAGGGGGTTGATGATCCTGCTTTTCTTAAATAATCCTTCTGAGTGTCTGCCTACCCTCACGGCGCTTGGCTGGCCGCTGGACACAAAGTGTTGCCTGCTCTCACGGCGCTTGGCTGGCCGCTGGCCACGAAGTGTTCGTCTTTACTCTGCAAACTCAACAGTGTGCTCAGCACACTCTGTTCGGCGTGTACTCACAAGTACACTCTGACGAGAGTGTACTCAGATGAGTACACTCCAACGAGAGTGTGCTTAGATGAGTACACTCCAACGAGAGTGTGCTCAGATCTTTGAAATATATGCAGTTGAGTACACGCTCGTGGGAGTGTGCTCGTGAGCACACGCTGAAGAAAGTGTACTCGTCAGTACACGCTAAAGAGAGTGTGCTGAGTACACTGTTGAGTTTGCAGAGTACGCCCGACGACCGACCACTGGTTTGGGTTAGAGCCCTAGAGAGGGGGAGAAACGCGAACTGCTGAAATGCTCCGCTGGATTTCTCATATTTTAGGCTCTTTCGGGCGGATGCTGTCTGGACAATTTCTCATACATAGTCAAAATGGCCGCCGCTGGTTGTGTCTGCAACGAAGCGTTTGTTTACAAGCAAATACTTTTATTTAAAAAGTTGTCTGTTTTTACAGAAAATTATAAATTAGTTTAGAAAAAAAATTTGTGGTTGTAGGGAAACCCTGAGTTCATCACATTGTTTCCAGCTCGGAACATAATGACCTGAAGTAAGATGTAAAATATGACATTTGGTTATCATCAAAATTGATAGGCAAAAGTTAAACTTATAATGCATAATTTTAATCCTGAATAGAAATGTTAATAATCTTTTGAGACGTTAAGGGGGGACCCTGGTGAAAAAATCGCCAAAATTGCCAAAAATAGTATTTTCAAAGTTCATAGATAAAAATGTGCATAGAAGGTTTCAGATTCAACAGGTTGAACACCTTTAAGCTAAGTGGGTAGTTTCTTTATCATTTGGAAGGAAATAACATTAAGATCAGTTGTCATTGGCTTCTACGCTCAACTTCACAGCTTTACTCAGGCGACAAAAAAATTTTGTCGTAGAAAGACTTTCTGCGTTCCTGGTTGACACCTACATGAGTGGTCTTGCATGGACTCTATTCATTGATGACTTATCGACAAATTTTAGAGGCGGAATCTTGATAACAGCCCTACTAATAATTAAGCAAAGTTTCAACTTTCTGGGATTATTTTGAAGCCTACTTGAAAGTTTCACCAGGGTCCCCCCTTAAGGTGGAATTGAGGTACTTTATGTTCTAAGAGTCTTTGTTACCTGAACCCTTATGTGAGCGACTTATGGAACATGAACTGATACATTTATATCTATGTGCCTGTGCTGGTCACTCAACTCTTACGATGAATGTTGAAGAATTTTTTTTCCCACTCCGTCAACTGGCCACGCATTCATTTTTGTTTTATTCTGGCCAAAGTTTTTGGGATTGTTCTTTGAGGTCCATGTAAAAATGTTATAGAGAGATATTTCAAATAACTAGCCATTTTCTCAAATCCCAAACTGTTTTCAAAGATATGTTTTTCTTTTTTCACTACTTTTGGTTAAATTTGGGTTTTATTTTATATTTTTTGAGAAAAAGTTATGTTTAATTATGGAAATTTGGAAATCCGTCTTTGCCACAGGACAGGCAAATCAATCTATAGAACTTGTAAAAACAATTAGAGGTCTCGACAACTTTTCGTTCTCTGCTAGGAGAATTTGAGCCAACGACTAAATTTGTTACGTAAACTTCAATTACTCAGAAACTAATGGGAGTTGGGTGCTTTAACTTTGGGCTTAAGTTAATCTTATGGATAGCAACTAGAAACCAAAAAGACAATCATGATGCCACAATTATTTTGAAAAGTGATATTTCACAGCTTTCCACTTTACAGTAACCTTCATATTTGTGAAAAAACCCACTGTGGCTTAAAAGGAGGGTAGATGAAATTTGCTGTGAAATAGTTTGCCTCGAAGTACAAAGGTTACAGCTAGTTACGGTCGCTGACCAGCGCTGACCGACGGGGAGCGCGCAGCCGCTGAAGCAGACGACGCGAGCGGCGCAGAACACCACTGCGCATAATAGTCAAAATGGCCGCACCAATCAGGTGCCGCGACGCGGGTCGCGTTTCTCCCACTACTCCAGGGCTCTAGTTTGGGTGGGTCTGAAATCCAACATCCAGCATACCATAGCATAGATTAGCACAACAGAGAAGGTTAACCAAACAGAAAACTCAACTTAAAAATAAATAAAATTCACTAAACCTAGCTATTTTAGGCCCACGGGTAAAATAGATAAACTTAGCGTAGTAAGAGAGTATATATGTTTGTAACATCTGATAAATAAAAACCTTTTAAAATCTCAATCTCACGAAGTGTTGCCTACTCTCACGGCCTGGCTGGACACCCCGGAAGTGGTGCCTGCAGACTAAAATACTATGTCTTTTCCTGTGCATAAGTTTTGAACAAACCTGAAGCATGAGTTTTAAAATGCACGAATCTGTGCGTAACCAAGCAGAAAAGTGTAAGTTGCTGCACATCAAACGGTGCGTTTCACGCGCATGCGCAATTTTGTGCGTAGATCCGCTTGACCTACGTAAGAAAGTAGAGTATATTGCGTATGTGCAATCCTTTCCACAAATCCCAACATGAAGAAAACTGCGTACTAGATTGTCCTGAAATTGTCTTGTTTCCAATGCAAGAAAAACACACCAAAAATGTTTTTATCCCACTATTATTTTCTGTAACACCATTATCTTATGACAAAGAACACGACAAGAATAATCATCTACATCAATACAGCAACAACCTGAAGCAAAGTACGAAAACTTTTCACTACCACTCGTGTAAATTTTGTCAGAACGTTAGAAACAAGTCTGAAATCCTGATCAAAATTTGCGCTCGTCTGAAAGCTGAAATTCTGAAAACTTACTCTGATATTGATTTGAGTTCTACAAAATGTCAGGAGATGTTTTCAGCTCTAAGAGGTGCGCTAATTTTGATCAGGTTTTCAGACAGGTTTCAGACATTCTGACAAGATTTACATGAGTGACGCCCCTTAAAGGGGATTTTGAAAAAAGTACAAAAAATTGCAAAGTTTTAGCTTAACTGTTGGCTTATCGCCTTTTACAGTGCGGATGCAGGAACAAAGGCATAAATATTATTCCAATACCGGGCGTTCACGATCCACGCCAACTCCTCCTTTTGATCGGTCAAAAGCTCAACTGTTTTATTCCTTCAAAAATAACGCATTTTTCTGCGTTGAATGCGTTTTGGGGCCTAAAATATCAAAACCGAGGGAAGCGGAATTTAGACTCAGTCCGTATAAGAACAAAATTCCGGTACACTCCGATGACCAAGGATAAGCTGTACCCTTGGTTGTAGCTGCTAAGCTTTTTGAGTTTTAGTCTCAAATGCAAACTGCCGTTGTAACGGCCTGGTTTTGTTTCGCTTTGGGTATCATCCCTGATGCACACTAAATGTTTTTGTACAAATTTTGTACGAGACATCACAGTTTTTTGTGCACACGAACTTTTCGTTCAAATTTGTACGAAATTTTGCACAAAAAGGGGAAATTTGTGCAAATTTGTGCAATTGTACGAAAAGTTCGTGTGCACAAAAAACTGTGCTGACTCGTACAAAATTGTACATAACATTTAGTGTGTGTTTCAACTAGCCGGCTAAAGTTGTCCGCGGTCTGAAGTTGACGAACGTGCCGCCGATAATCCTGGCGGTGAGGTTGAAGGTCAACTTTAAGTCTTTGGCTTCCCTGACGCCGTCGTCGACGGGCTCGATGACGTAGTCGCGAATCACGGAGGCGAAGATGGTCTTCATGGCCATCATGGCGAAGAAGCCCGCCGGGCAGCGCCTGGGCCCCGCGCTGAAGGGTATGAAGGCGCAGGGGTGGTGCTGCTTGCCCGGCGCGAACCGCTCCGGGTCGTACCTCCACGGGTCCGGCCAGTGCACGGGGTCGTGGTGCGCGCCGTGCACGTTGACGATGAGCGTCGAGTTGGCGGGAATCGTCTTGCCTGCGAGCTCCGTCTGCTGGTACACCTGCCTCGCCAGGAAAGGGGTGGAGGGCACGATGCGCTGGGTCTCCTTGATGACCTGCTCCACGTACTGCAGCCTGGGCGGGCAGAGGAAGTCACCACCGTCAAGGGAGCAATACACTAAAAATGGCCGAAAACGCACTTGTGCACTCTCATTCCAAGAACGTGACGTCACGTTGAAACGAACGTGACAAAATGTCACAATGTCACAACTGAAACAATTGTTACGAAAAAAATTCAAGCTCTTTTTTTACAGCAGGCTTGTTGAAGCTGAAAATCATAATAATGGGCCAAAGCATTTCGAAAATATACGACATGTGTCGTCTATAAACGACATTTTTGTAAAATTCCAAACAGTTCGAAAAAGAAACTTAGAACTTAGCCAAACTTTTTTTGATATTTTGCGCGAAATGTTTTTACAGTGCGCCCTTACCTCGGCAGGTCCTGCAGTTCGACACTACGCGCGTCGGCGCCGACGCCCAGGACTTGGTCCACCTCGGCGCGCACGCGGTCCTGGATCTCCGGCGAGATGGACATCATCTTGAAGATGAGGCTGAGCGAGGTGGTGGTCGTGTCGTTGGAGGCGCTGAGGAACGTGAAGAACTCGTCCATGATGTCCTGGTTGCTGAACGCGTCGCTCTGCAGCATCTTGTCCAGCATGATCTGCTTGCGGGCGACGCCGCGGCCGAGGGCGGCTTCCTCGGCGTCGCGGACGGCCTGCAGGCGTCGCTGCACGATGGCGGCGTCCACGAACTCGCGTATGTCGCTCAGCCCGCGGTTGATGCGTCGCCCCATGGGCGTCCTGCTGTAGACGAAGTCGGGCCACAGCAGCGGCTGGAAGCTGCGCGTGTTGACGGCCTCCAGCGTCTCGTCCAACATTTGCGCCGCGCTGCGCAGGCGCTGCTCGTCGGCCGGGCCCAGCTCCTCGCCCAGCATGGAGACGCGCATGAAGATTCCCACCAGCGGCGGGGCCAGCGCCTTGTGCACGTCGAAGGCATGGCGGGGGAAGCTCTTGCTGAAGTTGTCGGCCACCTCGGAGAACACGTGGAAGTGGCTCTCGATGGCCTCCTTGGCGATGGCGGGCTCCAGCGCGTGGCGGTGCACCTTCCAGTCGGGGCCGTTCATCTGCAGCAGCCCTTTCGGGGCGATGGAGCGGATGAAGCCGTAGAAGAACTGGGCCTTGTCGCTGAACTCTTTGCGCTTCATGATCTGGGCGATGTCGTCGGGGTCGGACGCAACAACGACGAGTTGGTTGAACAGCGAAAACCGGCATAGCTCCCTTCGGGCGTTCACAATGTCGAGACACGTCTGGAAGACGGTCTCGCGCTTCACGGCGGCGAACGTGAGCGCGTTGCCCAGGACGGGCAATGAGGGCGGCCCAGGGATGGCCAGCTCCAGCTTCCTGAACTCCGCGTAGGAGAGCGCCGCGCGCACCAGCACGGCCAGCAGCAGCGCCGCGGCGCACGCCGCGAGCAGCAGCAGCGTCACAGCCATCTCGGCAGACTGAGCGGACACTCCGATGACTCCGTCCAGAGTGCCCAAGGTGGAAGCTGGGTCCCTCCTCGCAGGCCAGGAACCGCCGTGGAGCCGTACACCTCGAAAATCCCCAAGATCCCCCGCCAGATCCTGCCGATCAGGAGTCTCGATGTCCAGCCTTATATCTAATCATGTATTCTGCAACACAAACTAGTTTAAATTAACGGGACAAATGAGTCCTCTTTGTTTTTTAAGAGATGCAGATTTTCCGGAAACTTTCAAAGGGTCGGAAAAAAACCGGAAAAGTTGAAAAAAAAAAGAAAAATTTGGAAAAAAATGGAAAAATAGGAAAAATTAGTTTTTAAACACTATGAACATGAAACCTACTACTTTTGTGCTTTGTTACAACTTTACTTATACTGAAAACCCGAGATTCACAACAGCAAGCTCAAAAAACGCACGAGAAGGAATCAAAACAGGGTATAAGTAGTATGAGTGCACTGAGAATCGTGTTCACGTAGGGATAAAGGGATGCTTTGTGCCTACTTTCAGGCGGAATGCCTGACTTTTTGCCTACTTTTCAGGCTGAATCTTTCCAATTTTTCCGAGGCCAGGGAAAAAAACCGAAAAAACACTGTTTTTTTTTCCAATGTTTCCGGAAACTTTCCGGGCATTTTCATCCCTTACTTTTTCACAACAGTTACGTGGTGCCTGGCATACGATCATGTTTGGTTTGGCCCTTAATGTTAATGGAAGGTAGGCAACCCTCAATACCGTATGGCCTTTAATGTTCTTAGGAAGACACCACTGCTCTCGACCAAGGCTGACGTGTCTGCCACCAAATGTCAGGACCTCCTAGAAACTTTCCATGCCCATTTTTTTACGTGATCTTGCTACCGCTTCTACCTCTCCATAAAATCCCCTTCCTCCCATCCATCCATCCATTCATTCATTCAGCTCTGCATGATCATCGTCGTCTCGTCTCGTCGTTTCGTCGGCCTCGCCTTCCGCCGCGCCGCCGCCTCGCCGCGCCAATCCCCACTCCTCACAGCCGCCCCCTCCCTCCTTCCCTCTGCCCCCCCCCCCCCCCCCCCCCCCCGACCGGTCCAAGGCAAGACCGCTTTGCTAAGCTTGCCATGGTGGAACTTTTTTTCGACAGTCCTATGAGGCTCCTCGATTCTTCACTGAAAAAAAAATAAAGCACGCGTTGCCGGTTCGGCCAGGGCCTGAATGCGACCATAGACGATTTCCGCACCGCTTTGATACTTCTTAGGCAAGAAATCGCCGTAGACCCACGAGGATCCGTATTTTTTGGCCAACAAGGATTTTTTAAGAAAAGCAGGATCTTACATCTACCCCCTTGGATTGTCGCGATTTTTTCTCTTCATTTTGTACTCCATAAAAGATGAAGTTTGGCACAATTTCAGACCCCTGGGTCCATTGTTGAAGTTTTGGTGGTCAATTTAAGGTTTTTTCACTGTTTTGCAGTGAATTTGGGTATTTCTTTCTACGCAGAGACTTTTTGGTCTAGAGGCAAGAGATTTTGTTTTCTGGCCTTAAATTGAATGAGAAAAACGACTAGCACAACAGAGCTAGAACAAAAACGAAATCAATTTTTAAAGAAACTTGGAAAATTTTACCTAAAAAGACCCAAATTGTGGGCAGTTGAGGTTTTCTTTCGCCGATTGACATGAAACTTTGCCGAACTTTGCAGACTTATGAAGAAAAGTGCGCTGAATCCGAAACTTGCTGTCCCAGCCTCGGTCCCAGCTCTGTGGGACCAGCCGTTCGGAAGTTAGACGGTTTTGAAGATAGGTATGGGCTGGTTCGGCTCTTCACGGCTTTCCCGTGGCTCCGCCTTTTGGACCCTCTGGACCAAATTCTTGTGAAGACTGCTGAATCCGGAGAGTTGGGGCCTGCACTGGCGCTTACGCTACAAATCCAAAAGTGTGCATTGTGCATGCCTGCACAACGAGAGAATAATGGTACTCTCGTAATCAAGCACGAGCATTTTTTTAAGGATCTGTATGATAATCTTGTGGAGGATATCTTGGCTTTAAGCCGTCTCTCGACCAGGTATTTAACTTAATATGAAGACCTGAGTGTAAAATACCCGAGGGAGTGACCAGTCGCGTAATAACTTGTATACACAAAAACCGTGTAATACGCGTAACACACGTGGTCGTATACCATTTCTGGGTCAAAGGTACCAAATTTTCTCATTTTAAGGCCGTAATACTGAGTTGTCTGTCCACGATTTCTTGAAATTTTTACGCCCTCGCAGATCCAGAGCGCTACAAGGGCACTTTTCCTTCTTCAACGTATCCGCAACATCACACTTTGGGGGAATCCTCTCACTGTGAAGCCAAGAGTGGACGTGGACAACCCCACACTTGAGGTGTGGAGACTGCAAATTCCACTCTTCCGCATTTCCAGTTCGGAGTTCTCCACACGCTGTGAGAATGTGAGTCGTCACTTGATGACAATAAATTTCAAGGCTAATTTTCCTTACAAGGATGTCATCAAATCAATTGATGACATTGTTGTCATGCCCATGCAATGAGTAGAGGAGCTTTGATGAAAATGTCATCAATTTGTGATGAGATTGTCATCATTTGAAAGTGATGAAAATATCATCCACGTTTTTGTCATAAAGTAACAACAAATTTTCACAGTGCACTGGTTCCACCGCGTGACTCTCCTCACGGGCGCTCGATCCGAATCCCCCGTGACGCGTCGTGACGGCTTCGGGGTTCAGGAAGGGTCCCGACACACTGTGGACTGCCGACTAGACTAGCGGCTAGCCACTGTGGGACGCGCGCCGGCCGTCCTGGTCGAGGTCCTGGTCCTGCCACGTCCTGCCGCCGAGCCTCAGCGCCTCCGCGCCGCCGCCCTCACAAAAGCGGGAGTAATGTGTTGACCCAGCAAACGGCGGCCGAGGACGAGGACGGCGACGAGGACGCGCTGAATGCCGGAATTAACGCCCGGGACCATTATGAATGGGATTATAAATGAGTCCTTGGACTACTTCTTCCCTGATCCTCCTCGCTCACAGACCCGCAGCCTAAAGCGGGCCGCGCGTACGTGAGTGTGCATATATCCTGCGCCAGATTTTCTCCTCTAGTCCTTGCGCAAACACCCCGGCCCGTAGGACAGCCACCGCACATGCACGCACACAGACACATTTACTCGCACAGATGGGCAAATACACACACACACACATACATACATACACACACACACACACACACACTTACTCACATAGACACAGACACGCAGAAAGAGAGAGAGGAGGGAGAGGGGGGTGGGGTGGGGGACCGGGGGGAAGGAGGAGGGGGAGGGGAGGAGGAGAGAAGGGAGAGAGGGGAGAGAGGGGAGAGAGAGAGAGAGAGAGAGAGAGAGAGAGAGAGGGAGAGAGAAGGGGGAAATAGACTCATACACACACACAGACACACACACACAGAGAGTGGTGCACACAGCGGGATCGGCCTAAGGTAACGTGCGAAATAGAGAGATAAATAAAGGGAGATAAGAAGGGTTCCCTGTCCGCCCCGCGACTTCCCTCCACAATTATCCTCCAGAGCGCGCTTCCCCGCTGCAGCGGAGGGGAGGGGCGAGGGGAAAGGGGGGGGGGGCGCTAAGACTCGCCCAGACGGCCCGCGTCTTGGGTGGCGGCAGGGCAAGGCAGGGCAGGGTTTGGGCTGCCCGGGGCTGGCACTGGCTTGCACGGTTCGTCCCACTTCTAGTGCACCACCGATTTTACTCACGGTCTTACTCTGTTTGGAAAGTAAAGTACACTGTCAGACCAAGTGTGGAGGACGCCACACTCCCAGTTGCAGAGTAATTCTTTTGGTCGTTTGCGCAGTCTCCACACTTCAAGGTTGGAGTAGCTTACAGAGCCCCAACTCCGGGCATGGTCCCCACTTGAAGTGCGGGCATGGCAAACTCTTCTGTACTGATCTGAGACTGCTAACTCCTCACCTCTGCGTTTAACAGTGTATTCTGCAAACTGATGGTTGACGCTATTGTTGTCTGCTTGACACGCTTGCTGAAAAAAAAGAGTGTGTACGAACATGGCATTCACCAACCAATGCGCCTGCGTTTGTATAGAGGCAGGATGGCCTCAAATTTCAGTATCATGTACAAGTTGTTGTTTTTTTGTTTTTTGTTGTTGTTTTTGCAGCATGCCCGTTCAGTCAGTACTAGACGATAATGCGCGTCAAGCTTGGGACGTGACATTCCAGCACTTCCAGTGTGTGTCTCCCTGGCGATTCCGCCGGCCGCACACTGTCTCTCTCGCACCCCTACGGCACGGTCCATGAGTGAGGGGGAGAGAGAGGGACGTTTGGAAACGAAAGGCTCTCGCATCGACAGCTCTCCTTCAGTCCAGGGCGCCGGGCCCGCCTTGCCGTGTCGCCGTGAGGCTGTGACACCGTGACCTCGACAATGGCGATCGTGTCGAACAGCAACAGCCCCCCCCCCCCCCCGCCCAGCCGGGGCTGCTGCCGGTGCAAGGGGCGACCCAGGGGGAGGTGGGGGAGGTGGGTTGTCCCTTTTTGCTCCATTTCGCACGGCGCGGCACGGGCGCCTGGCCTAATTGGTCCGATGGATCACGCGCTGGGGCTGCAGGGCTGCGGGGCTGCTGCAGACTGACTCCGAGAGTCGTTTTCGTCGCGCTGTCTCTGTCGCACTCAGGGGGCGCCCCCAAGGGGGGGGGGGAAAAAAAAAAA